GGGAATACAGAAATGTGCATATTAATTAGCCCAAAAACCCTAGCTTATATACAGGAGCGAGTGGTCCGGATATATATATATGTATCTGTGTATATATATATGTATCTGTATATATATATATGTATCTGTGTATATATACATATGTATCTGTGTATATACATATGTATCTGTGTATATATACATATGTATCTGTGTATATATACATATGTATCTGTGTATATATATATATGTATCTGTGTATATATATATGTATCTGTGTATATATATATATGTATCTGTGTATATATATATATGTATCTGTGTATATATATATATGTATCTGTGTATATATATATATATGTATCTGTGTATATATATATGTATCTGTGTATATATATATATGTATCTGTGTATATATATATGTATCTGTGTATATATATATATGTATCTGTGTATATATATATATGTATCTGTGTATATATATATATGTATCTGTGTATATATATATGTATCTGTGTATATATATATATGTATCTGTGTATATATATATGTATCTGTGTATATATATATATGTATCTGTGTATATATATATATGTATCTGTGTATATATATATATGTATCTGTGTATATATATATATGTATCTGTGTATATATATATATGTATCTGTGTATATATATATATGTATCTGTGTATATATATATATGTATATGTGTATATATATATGTATATGTGTATATATATATATATGTATCTGTGTATATATATATATGTATCTGTGTATATATATATGTATCTGTGTGTATATACATATGTATCTGTGTATATATATATATGTATCTGTGTATATATACATATGTATCTGTGTGTATATATATATGTATATGTGTATATATATATATGTATGTATGTATGTATGTATATATGTAATATTGCTAATTATAAAATATTATAACATATGGATTATACATCTTGGTGGTCCCCAATTAATATATCTACTCCCATATCCCAAGAGGGGTATTGCAATTTATCTCTAAAAGTCAAAGCGTTTTAGCAATGTTTCACTTAATGTTTAGAATCATGTTTTTATTGTTATTCCTTTATTCTTTTTTAAATCTAGCCTTTCTCCAAATCTAGGATTGTAACTATGATACAATAGTGGACCAAGAACAAATAATATGAATTGTGAAGTGAGGACAAACATAACAAGTCTGAATAGAATATATAGTTCCATGTAATGAATATGAATAAATGATATAGTGAAGTGAGGCTAAACATATATGCGAAGTGAAGATAAGTCCAACAAATCTAAAGAGTTAGTGCTTTAGAAATTTTTCTTTATCCTTTGAGAAGAAGATAAAGAGGATGTAAAGAACAAATGAAATGACTGAAGAAAAGAAGTAAAGGCAAGTTTTGTTGATAATTGTAAATCTAACTTAACAATGGTTTTGAATAATGGTTGATAAACAAATTTAGAGACATGATATATTGTTTATTACAATGGTGTTTTATGGACTTTTGAAGTTTTTTACTTCCTTTTAAAATTATGGATTTGAGGTTGGTTTGAGCATTTAGCAGTTGCACAAAGAGTTGTAACTGATTTATTGGGATTTTATAATTAATTAATACTTGTGTTATGGCTTTGGGTTTTATTATAATATAGTTGTCAGCAACTATATTAGTGATTTTGTGGGAGCTCCATATTCATGTGACATTCAATAAATGCTCAATAGAAACTCCAAATGTTCCACCTAATTTATTGTTATTATTATTTTCCAGAGGGAAGGATGGTGTAAAGTTTGTAAATACATATACACATATATTAATAAAACTTTCTATTTTTAATTATAATTATTTTGATTTTAAATTTAATTTTCCATCTTCCTAGAGAAAATGATGATCAGAAAGTTGAAAACAATGCAAAGCTCTAGCAATTCATTTTTTCACTGTGAGTTTGTTTTTATTCTTACAAGGACCAACACAGAAGGAGATGATCATTGCTTGATGCCACTACCTCAAGCATCAAAGTGAACTTATGCAAAGTTTGTCAATTGCAAAAAAAATTTAGGGGCAGAGCAAAATAAAACCACACTACCCAAAAGTAAGGCCTTAGTGATAAGACTTTCATGTCTCTCTTGCTGCCAATACTATTATTGATTGTAGGTATTTCCTTAGAATCATACATCTAAGAGTATGCAAAGGACAATGTGTTAGATGTATGGTGCTGCTTAAAGTTTAAAAGAAAGCAACACAACATTTGCAAGAGGATGGAGTTTGTGAAACTCAGGTTGATTATCTCACAAGGTTCAAGTGTGACTTGTGTCAAGATTGACACTTTGGAAGTCTTGAGATCTCAAGGCAGCACTACAGACTTGATAAACCACATAGGTGATGCTGACAATACAACAAAATCTTGGAAATGGTCAATGGTATGCATGTGATGACAAATTGATGGAACAAGAGAGCATAATAACTTTGCAAATGCATACATTCTGTTTCACTTGAAAACATCTCTCTCTCTCTCTCTCTCTCTCTCTAAAATTAATAAAGAAGGAGTTGCCAAACTTTCTGGGCCACTAGATCCTGCCAATAACAACCATCTGATGGGGGGTAACTGTCAAAATGAACCATGTGTTGGCAAATATTCATGCTAATGTTTATTCTCAACCAATGAGAGGTTGTCAATTGCCTAGGGCAAGAGAAGAAAATGTTGTGTAACACATGTCACATGCAATGTGTTAACTGGCATTGACATTAACTCTAAAATTCAAAGGAAAAAGTTCTAGGGTTTAATGGAGAGCATTGGTGGGCCTAACTATTGGCACCTTCGGCATTCAGACTCCAGGTTGTGGATGGCCAATATAAATGAGGTTTTCCCCTGTTTCCAGGAAATCCTCACCTCACATGCCAATTTGGACTATGCTTAGTGCCATTGCGCAAAGGGCCTCATGGAGAAGCCGATAGGTGAAAGTTTTCAACTTCTCGAGTATTCTTTTGCTTTGTGCAGAGAACAATAGGCCTAATCGTGATTGTTTGTTGCACAAGAGTAATATGAAAGTGGTGATGAAATTGTTATGCAGGGAGTATGTTGGTGAGGAAGATATTGCACAAGGAGCTATGTAAGTTGAGGAATGAATGCTCAAAGAGTAAGTCTTGAATTCTTCTGCTATTGTAAGCTGCTATACCTCCATAGTACAGGGCTCTAGCACGGGGAAGACACATGGGGCAATGTGTGAATGCCTAACGAACAGCGAGTTGGAGATGGTGCTATACTTCAAAGCATGGCTTTTTGTCCTTCATAGGGTGAGAAGATGAGCTCAGTGCAGTGGATGGATTCATAGATGGATTTGTCCAGCATTGCGGAGGCCGTGCACAAGAAATGGCTTGAAATGATCAACAGCAGAGCTGTCGACGATATTAGTGACTCACCAGATGTTAGGAACGAGAATCTACACAAGAGTTTGAAAACTTGAAGCATGTACTGCCAGAAGAGGGGAAGGTGCACGTGCTTTTTGTTTTTGATGAAGATCGCAGTCTTTGAAGAAGGTAAACATGCTTACAATATTTTTGTCTATTGATTGTAACTAATCAGGTGTCCTGTATAGCCGAGCGGCGAAGCTGCAGGAAAGTTCACATTCACAGATGCGCAATCGCTTAAATCGTCCGAGGCTCCAACTGGTTGGCCAAGGACGAGTTTGGAGACTGTCAAACTGCTTAAGGGAGTACCGACTCTTTCAATCCGTCTATATATGCTGTCATCTAATGCTGTGTGATAGAGTGGAGCTCATTTCATCACAGGCATTTGTGAGAGACTGTGAAAACTACGGTTACTGTTGTAAATAATACTGCCTGGTCTGACAGTGCTTCTTTCCTTGAATTGCCCGTATTCTGCAGGTAAGGAATGTGAGTTTACTACTTCAGAGTGCTGACGCTGTTGCTACTGACTCTGGTTGGTTCTCACTCTTTTAATTATCTTCTTTTCCTCCATGTGAATTGAGTTGAGCTGACAGTTGCATTCACAGTCTTGCAGGGCCGATTGGAAAGACCAAGAACAAGGGCTGTAAGCAATTTGTTTTGATGTTCCAGTTTTCTTTGCTGGATGGATGGATTGCTGGGGCGCTTTCCAGTGCATAAACACTGTGAGTTTTTAACGCTAGTTGAGACATCACACCAAGCTTCGTCTACTTGTGCCAGAATGACTAACAGTTTCTATGGTGCAGATCAATCCATGAATAACGGGGTATTGATGGAGGAGTCAGTTGTTCCTGCAAGAGAATTCATCCTTGGGTCAAAGCTAATATCCTGGATTTGCGGCTTTTAAGGCCTATTTATCAGGTGGTGAATATGGACCTTACACAAGGATGAACCCAATGTACTGCAAGAACTCTAGTCCCATGATACCATGATGTGAGATTTCGTCAAGTTTACAGATGATCTACTAAAAGCTGCCTGATGTGTTGATTGGCATTAACACCCAACTGGTCAACACATTTATTTAAATGTCAATCAGTCAACAAAATTCCTTATCTATTTTTGGGGGCAGTTTAAGAAGATTCACAGAATATTATTTTTCTAAGGATATGAATGCAAAGATTTTTTAAATGCTAATGCTGATTAAGGTATACTTGCCTAGCATATTCTGCCCCAACACTGTTTTGATTGTTATAGTTTTCTTACATTATTAAAATAGTATCAAAACAATAAATAATATATTCCACTTGCCATAATGTAGTGATGATTACAATTATCTTTTGACTTTATAACTATATTTTAAATGTTTTATTCTGTTGTTATCTAAAACTCAATACTAAATTCTTTGAATTAATAATAATACTTAACTGAATTAAAGTGAGACTAAAATTAAAACTGAAATGAAGAAAGTGATATCAATTCTAATATTGAAATTGATTCCAAATTGACTCTAATATTAACATTAATATTTAAACATAAATTTTATGCTCTCCAATCCTAGGTCTTTTATGTAAGGAACTTTGATGTCAATTGAAAAAGTAAGGGAAATAAATGGGTTAGAAAAACCATTTATTAAACAGTTTGTTTAATAATTTAGTTTTTAATTAAATCATCCGTGGTCATCCTCCACTATTAAAGTACAGTTCTACCATGGAAATGTTGGACAAGATATACACCCCACAGTCGTGGGAATCTATTTCCACTTCAAAGCCGTCCTCTTGCCTTTGAGTCCAATCTTCGTGCTATAACCACACAGAGCAAAGATATATATATCAATTGTAAGAACTGTACAACATATTGCATACCTTCCACAAATCTCTCACACTTGCTGTCACACTCGGTTCCAATCCAAAATCGTACCAGTTGATTGTGATTAATGCTCGCTTCCACCCTCTGTTCCATGCTGCCACTACAATTTTATCGCCCGATAGAGGACCAGCCCACACCTGCGTGGTCACACAATGCTTTGTCAATGTCAAACAAGAAGTAATTACCTCAGACTGTCCTATTTGGCTCACTTTGCGTCCCTGTATTCCTAGTGAATCTACATGCCAAAAGAAAAAGACTGAGAAATCAGTGGCTCCAATCTTCAAGAAGTTACCTTGATTTACTGCTATTATCTCGGTGTTCTTGTAAATTTCAAGGTGTTCTTTCGTGATTGTTCTCAACTCACAGCCGATGATGAGAGGTGCCTGAGGCAAGGTACTCTAGTCTCGATTAATGAAAAACGAGCATGCAAACCTTCATGATAGACCAAATGCTGAAATGTGAACGATACTCAGCCAAGGTCATTCGACCATTCCCCACTTGGAGCATGTCAGGGTCTGAAAGAGAGACACTTGAGAAATTTATGTAAAGCCAACCATTGATCTCACCATTCCAACCTCCAGGACCAGCATAAGATGCCCACAAATTGTTGTCATCCGCTAGCAACTCTATGCTGCAAGCGAAACTGGTCAGGAAAGGGAAAAAGAAGAAGATCCAGGAGAACTTTACCGTGGCCATCTATCTTTCACGTCAAGTGATGTCCGCCAGCTATTCGCATACTTCCCAGCCCACACGGCTGGATGATCTTCTCCCCTGAGCACAGAAACATGAGCTCTCATATCGCAAGAGATAGCAAGAAAACAAAAATTTAATTACCATTCACACATTGCATAGAAGATAGGACGCCCGCTTTTGTTGAGAGCTTCGCTCATCACAGGGTACCTACAAGAGTTTCGCGGTGGTGTTGCTCCATTCCTTATACGAAAACGTTGTTCGCGTACCGAGCATGAGAAGGCCGATTTTTCTTGTGAAAGCAATTGTCGTACTTGAGATAGTCGATTCCCTGGACGAGAAGAAATAACTCAAGTGACACTTTGAAACGGAACAAAAAATCAGCATGTTTACTGTACCCACGAAGCAAAGGTTCGTGCATCTCGAAACTCGTGGCCCTCTGAAGCCGCTCGGTGGCATTTGCAAGTCATTCTCCTGGAAAATGTCTGCAGATGATAAGCTTCCTCTAGTTACAAGTTTTCTAAACTCTCTGGACAACTTACCCGGCATCAGAATATAGTCCGAACTTCATCCCTCTCTTGTGAGCATAATCCGCGAGCGCTTTCATGCCAGAGGGAAATGTTTTCTTATCGGATCGCAAATTTCCCTGAGAAAGAATGTCTTGGCACAAAAGAAGAAAAGGCAAAAAGAAACGTTTACCTCCTTGTCACGCTTATAAGCGGACCAACAATCATCTGCAAAGAAAACATTGGTTTTCCGAGAAGCTGGAATCACATTCATACCAACAATCACGTAGTTGTATCCATAAGATGGAAGATCGAGCCGAACCAAAGCATCCACTGAAGCACCAAAGTTTTACTTGGAATGACTCGAAAGTTTCACGAGAGCTTACTGTTCCCGTAGACGATCTTCTCGTTAATAGTGCATTCGTAGAAGTTCCATCCGCTCCACCTATAAAAGACAGCAAAAACGAAAAAAATGTCGTTTTTGAGCTCTACCTTGAGAGAAAGAAAGAATGTACAAAAAAGAAAGAACTCACACTCACCCCATCAATGGCGTTTGTCCCAATCCATTGTCATACACCATTCTTCTTTCCAGCGGCACGGCCTTCCTGATATCCCACTTGGTGTGCGTTCGATCAAACAGCTGCGAGCAGCCCAGCCGGCCCCTGGCCTTCCATGCGAAGATCGCCACGGCAGCTACAATCCCTAGATTCCGCCAGAACAGATACTCCATGGGCACTCGCTTAGAAATCCACTGGAGCCGCTTGGCGCCGATGACTCGCACCGCAATGCCGGAGGCAGCGCCAACGATCCAGCACCAGTAGGCGACCATGGAGCGAACGAAAATGCTGGAGCGATTCCTCATCGCGAGCAGCAAAAAAATCTCGCAAGAAAAATCCTTCTAGGGCTCATCCACACCAACGGTTTAAACGCTATCCTCTCTACAAGGAATCGAACCATCAACTATGAAAAGGTTTAGATTGATCGAAGGATCATATAGCGATCGAGAGAGAGCATATTACAGTGGACAAGGAAAGAATCTTCTTCTTCCTACTAGCTAGAAAAGGAGAGGAAACGAGAAATTTTCCAGAGATTTCTTCCAGGCTCTAGCCCCCAAATCCGTAGAGCGTCCTTCCCTGCCGTTTGAGCGCGTACACCACATCCATGGCGGTGACCGTCTTGCGCCGCGCGTGCTCGGTGTATGTAACGGCGTCCCTGATCACATTCTCCAGGAAGATCTTGAGAACCCCCCTGGTTTCCTCGTAGATGAGACCGCTGATACGCTTCACGCCGCCCCTGCGAGCCAGGCGCCGGATTGCCGGCTTGGTGATGCCCTGGATGTTGTCGCGGAGATGCTTGCGGTGGCGCTTGGCACCGCCCTTGCCCAATCCCTTTCCTCCCTTTCCCCTTCCAGACATTGCCGCCGCGACGAGAAGATTACCTGAAGAGATGGAAGGCGGAACACCAAATCGAAGAACCCTAGACTCTGTTGCCCGGAGGCTCTTCTTTTGGAAGATTATATAGCTCCGGCAAATCGCAGTGGTCGGATCCGACGGCTCTCCATCGCTCAAGTTGTGTTTGTTTGCGGCGAATCTGGACCGCTGGATGAAGCATCGACGGTGGGGCTGTGCGGATCACTACGCGGATCGCCACGGTGGACAAATGTGTTATGCTTTGGATTAAAACGATATGTTTATTAAGGCGTTTATTAAATTAAATGTGATTAACAGCCATAGCGATGGGTTTTTCCCGAGTAAGCTTGTAGAGCATACGAAAGCGATGAATCGATGTTTCTTCTCAGCTCTCCCATGTAACTGCGAATGGAGAAAAAAACTCTTTCAGGGAGATCTTGATGGAGCTTTGCGACTTACATGATTTCCGTGAGCTTGATCCTCCAGGGGGGAAAGCCTTGGACGGAGTTGATCTTGCCAAACACAAGCATGAGCTCCGGATCGGGTTTCCAGCGTCCTTGAAGAAACCAAACAAAAAAGAGGATTTTGATCGTCAAAAGCATGAAACGAAAGAGGAAAAACTCTCTCTTTCTCACCGATTTGCTTGAGAGACTCGTTCACGTCAGTCTCTGTGAGGCTGTTGATCCGCTCCAGCTGATCCTGCCGCGAGGAACCACGGAGGTCGTCATGGATCCTCCGCGCAGCCTCGGCAATCGCGTTTTTTCCATCGCTCATGGACAGAAGCTCCACCACCATTCTCGGTTCGCTCTTTGTTCTAATCGGATTTGATCTGGGGAAAGGGTCCACTCCGTTGGAAAAATGCTGGATTGATTACAATGCCAACCAAGGTTTAGCAACGTAAAGTAGAAAACGGAAGAAGATACGTACGAAGTCATGCTTTAGTTGCCGTTTCCAGGTAGAAGACACGACTCTTTTCTCAAGATACGTGCCATATCTCTTCAAAATGCCTGCGTCTCTACACAAACGAGGAACTCATAAACTAAAAGTAGCAAGGAGCGACGAGCTCATCGAAAAAAATCACAACAAAAGAGATCAAACAAAAGAGAGCTAGGAAAGGAAAATCGAACCAAGGTTTAATAATCCATCCATCACAAAATCAATCGATCCAGGGAAAAAAAAAGAGAGGAACCATACCTTCCATGTCGTAGAGCGCAACCTGGCGAATTCCCGCCGCCGCCAGAAAAACCAGCAGCTCCACGATCTCGTCCCGGCACTTCCTCGCCGATTCCCCGTCCACGACAATGGCGACGACGCGGGGCTTCTTCGTCACCGATCTCCACGCGAATCGCACAGATCCGATGGCGATGGCGATTCCATCCAGGAATCTCTGGAGAATCGCGGCGCAGCTCGCGATCGCGTGGAGCAAATGCCACACGACCGCTGCCCACACGGCTCCCATGCCCAACCTAGCCCACGAGAATATGCTCGCTTCAGTCCAACAAGGTCAAAAACCCTAAGTTAGAACGAATATTCTTGTTCTCTTAAGCAGTAGGTTCTCAATCAGTTTCTTCAATGTTGTGCTTTCTCTCAAGGTTCTTTGGTTGGGTTTTGGTTCTTCTTTATATTTATATATTCATTCATTCATATACTACTTCCACTGTGGTGTGGCACCATGAAGCATAAGACCAAAAGATTTAGAAATGTTATTTTGAAAAAGATAGTCATTGCAATGTTTGCACTGATATCCATGTATTCCCACTCTTGATCTTTGATGCCTCTGCTCCATACAGGCTTTGACCTCTATACTCCATACTCTATAACTGACTCAATGTGGTTGTTCTTGGTCTTGTTACGGAAATTTTTGCACACTCTCTTTGTTCTATACTCCTTTTCCTTTCTCCCTGGCACCATTCTTGAAATTGACATAGGATTCAGCTCCAATTTCGTCTTGACGTGGCTAAAATCTTGCCTAGTGCTGAACATGATGTTTTCATTATCTTGGTTCACAAGGTGTGTGACTTTTGTCTTGCCTTGGCTCTTGACTTGATTCCTGACTTCTTCCTTCATCTGAGAGGGAGGCCTTGGGCTCACAACACATCATGGAATATTGCTGATATCCCAGCTTTTCTCCTGGCACCTTGCTCCACCAGCCAGGTTCCATCTAAACTTCTTTCTATAGCAAACTTAAAATTTGGAATGGACCATTTCAAGGCCAAAGCTTGTGAACATGTAGCTCAATGTTTTGTTAAAAAAATACAATATAGACCACTATTAATTATCATATACAATCAATCTACTTTGTAAAACACTCAAAGGGAAACAAGATAAACATTTTTATAATTTCTGCCCTTTTTTAGTATGGAACTTATTTATTATAGATTTGGATTGTTTGCATCGCTGTGAACCAACAGTGGGTCCCAAGAAAAGAAGGCTACACTAAATGTATGTTGTATAAGAAACTAAAGAGAATGACTTAAGAGACTATTTATAGAAGTTCAAATATAAAGAGAAAAAGTCTATGAGCAAAGAGTATCTCTTTTTTTCAATTGGTTAAAAGTTTTAGAATACTTGGGGTTAAACATCTTTGGGTTTGTGACCTCTTGTGAAGTTTAAATTTAAAAGATACACCAATGTATTTCTTGGGAAATTTAAATTCCAGAGGTTACATATTAGTGTAAAAGATTGAATTTGGGTAACAATAATAATGACTATGGTGAAGGTAATGTTTTACATGATATATGGTGTTGTAGAGGAGGTAGGTATGGTTGAGAAATGTAAAGGATCCACTTCTACATGATTGCAGCAAAATATAAAGTTGGGTAAGAGGAATTATTATCTAGCTTAAAAGCATCTCTATTAATTGACCATTAATTGAGGACATTAGGAGGGGATGGTAAAATGCTTATATAATATAATAAGCTTAATTTAGACAAAGGGTGATTTTAATTCTTATTAATTTTATAAATTATTTTCTTTCATAAAATACATAATTAATTAGTTTTATTTTAAATACTGTGAGTGCATGGAATATGGAAATAGGATAAAAATTATATATATATCAATTAGCTCAAAAACCCTAGTTTATATACAAGAATGAGTGGTTCGAATTGAAATCCCACTATACTAATATTAGTATATAACATTATAATCATACATATAAATCTCACATCATCCCTTCCTCTTGAAAGGATAGAAGTCAACTAAAGTTATTTGGTTTATGGGCACATACACAATTTTTGGAGGATTGGCTTGTTGAATGTTATATTGAACCTACTACACATACATAATTTTTGAAGGATTGGCCTATTGAATGTCATATTGAACTTCATAAATTTATGATTTAACTTGTTGCAACCCCTAATACAATTCTTTTTACTGAGCAAAAAGCCCCTTAGACAAACCATGTACCATAAAATTGAGAAACGAAGTAACATCATGTCATTCACTTTATATTCCGTTAGTAGATGATGATAGGAGTTGTAGTACCATTATTGTTCCACTTATATGTGGCTCAAGTGTTTAATAGATTTCGATTAAACAATTGGAAGAATGTTCGTCAAATACAAATCCTAAAATCTAGCATTAGTAGCTTGTGGCAATTGCGAAGGTAAACTCAACTATATTAGCAATATTAGATTATGACCATATAAGAGTTTATATGGTAAAACACTAATGGAACTTTATACGCCTCTAACATATATATACCAAAGAAATTGCAAATAATCATCTTAATTCAAATACTAAAAGTTTATGTACTTTGCAATTATCCTTTTGAAGGTCCGAATGAGCCATTCCATTAAACCATTTGTTTATAGATGATAAGCACTTTGTGAATGTGTGACATATCCCCAACCAAGATGTTAAAACATAAAATATCTCATCCATAAATACAAGATAATTATCCGAGAATATTTACTCTAGATAGGAATACTAGAATACCACTTAATTGAGGAGGATGTGTAAAATATTAACAAAAGCATTAACTTCCACTCATTGAGTCAAGTAGTTAAAGGCAATAATGACATACTTATTACTAACACTTGACTATGGAAAAAGCCTCTTTAGATTAAATACCACTAACTCAAATAGATGAGAAATTGCAATTGACTCCAACCATCCTTTTGTAGCATGAGGGGAGTATTATATGTTTGGCACCAAACATAACTATGCATATATTGAAAAATATTATATCACATCCTGGCCAATAGAAAGAGTTGCATAACTTTTTAGTTATATAATGATGTCCCATATACCAGCCTAGATTTAGGAGAATCATGGTAAATGTAAAGAAAGTGTGGAATAAATATCAAAGGCACCACTAGTCATAAATGATTATTAAGATCCATCCCCACAAAATAAAGAAGGTAATACTCAAGGTGATATTGAGAATGCAAATACAATCATTAACAAGTGATGTATGACTCTAAAACCCCTTGTGAAACTTTCAAATCCACAGCTTAACATTTTGAGCTTCATAAACCTTGTTAAAAGAAGGTAAGTCTTGCCCCACACTTTATGAACACTAAATATCAAATACAAGAACTGCCAATGGCATGGAATTGTTTAGAAAATCTACAAATGCTAGAGCAATAGACTCATCATGAATAGGAGAAGTGAGCAAAGAATAGAGAGGAGCTTGAGAAAGGGTGTTAGCATCAACCATACAACTCCTTAAGCAATGAACAACCTCAAAATTATATATTTAAAATTTAGAACCCACTAACTAGTATAACTAAGTTCTTTCATTTCAATAACGAAATAACTATAACATAACCATCTCCTAGTAATGTTTGATAACAATGTAAATATATATGAATCTTCTCAAAACCCTAAATTGCTACTAAAAACTCTTTATTTGTTGTAGAGTAATTCAACTCCACTTGTTGTAATATATGGCTGATATATATATAATAGGATGATATTAACTACTACTCTTTTGCATCAACACACCTCCAAGACCGACATCAAAAGCATTTACATGCAAAATGAAAGGTCAAGTGTAGTGAGTATATGCCAAAACTTTAGGAGTCATCAATAGCTCTCTGAAATCCATAAACGTCTACTCACAATTTATGGACT